ATTGGATGCACCGTTCTCTCAAATTTTCTTAATTTCTTAAATTTTCTGCACTCTTTTCTTCGTATCTCCAAAACGGCTGAACCTGCCTTTGCCAAATACAAATTACTACATCTCTCTATATATAGAAATCGAATGTTTTTTGAACCATTTAAATCGGTTAATCCATGCGCCCGAAAACGAGGACGAAAAATTGTATCCATACATATACATAAACATGCATTTTTTCTAAGGCATGCAAAATGTTCAGAAACATGAAGATATGCAAAAATTTTCGATTTCGATTTTTGGACGATTACAATAACTGATCCTACGGGAAGGTAATACAATCAAAATTTCGGGAATTATCACAAATGTTCTGCTAATTTGGAAAGGTACGAATTACTATGGTCCTTATATTAATAAAATAAATTGTTATAATTTTATAACGACATTAGTCGGCAATTAAATCGATCGAGACCTGGTTCGTTGCGGCAAGGGGGCGTTATGCAGTCTTCCCAACGCTCTGGAGACAGCGGATTCGGTTACGAAGGAACTCTTTCCCATTCCTATTCAGATGCTGAATTTAGGTAAGTTGAAAGGTCAATAAAACACTAGACAAGGATTTTAGGCAAAGTTGTTAAGTATTGTTCAAATTATAGATATAACGAAGACATCGAAGGAAGTATTTCCACATCACCCAATCCCAGATCATCAAGATACCAGCCATATGAAAATACTTTCAACCGTCAAAGCAGAAATTATAGTTAGTATTAGAAATATACTAAATTTATTTATTCAGTCAGTTCTTTCGAGTGCTTGATTTAACACCCGCGATCACTTTTTCTTGTACTAAGTTGCACTAATTAAACAATCACAGCAAGCATAATGCTATTGACATCAAAAATTAATATTGACTCTTAAATGCTCTCTCCATAGCATTTTGTCACCTCATCTGGTAATGGTTTAGACTGGACAGAATCGCCTGGCATTGGACATACCTTATCAAAATCGCATAGACAAACTCATATATAAATTTTAACCTTATAGGTCTAAGTTCATTTGATTGCATATACATCTCGCTCATAAAAGTGAACCTTTCGTTGAATAGGAAATTTGATTTTTTAATATTTCGATGTATAAATTAAATCGTATGAAAACTTGAAGTTTACATTAACAGCAATTGGATTTTTTTTGCATTTTCAAACGTGTGGACGACCTTGATGTGCAGGGCTTAAACCCGCCAAGCGATGGTTTTCGTACTTATTGTTAAGAGCATGCTAAGAATCGCCAGTACACACAAATTTTAGCCCTAATTTTTCACAAAGTGTAAGCCATTGCAAAAATATTATATCAAAATATGTTGACATTAAGAAGCGCCAGCGGCTCGACCTAACACGTTGGCAATTTAATTGGTTAATGGCCTGGAAAGCACAAGTCTCATTACAAAATAAGCTTCTAATATACAAGAAAATTATTAAACCAATATGGTTCTACGGTCTACAACTATGAGGTGCGGCCAGTAAATCAAACATAACTATTCTACAGAGGTTTCAGAACAAAATTTTGGAAGAAATCGTGAACGCTCCAAAATATGTTCCAAACTGGCTAATATCAGGACCTTAGAATTCTAACTATGGAAGAAGAAATTAATCATTACTGCTCCAGATACAAGACTCGGCTAAGTCGACATCCAAACCAAGTAGCGTGTGACCTGCTCAAGCCTTTACCACCAAAGCAACTTAAGAAAAGAACCTGTAATAATTTACTACATCAAACCACATATCTGGAAAGGTGCAATCGCAGGATAGCGATCCTTTCACACGCTGTCAAATCAAATTTACCTGTTAAAGTAGCTGAATGTACTGAGTGTATAGTTTAATTTCTATGTAAAATAAAACAAACAAAAATATGTTAACATATACTTATTCCTTATTAGGCCAAAGAGCATATTCGTTAGACAGGAGGTCGCGATCCCGTCGTAGTTCGCCGCGAGGAGATCCAACGATACGCGCGGGGCAGCAGACGCGCAGCATCAAAGGTGATGGATGGAGGCATCAGCGTGCGATGTCCGTTGGTGCAGATAGGACACCAGTACTCTGCAACAAATATGCCATTAACGATGACATGTACGGCATGAATGACGGTGAATAATCCTGAGTGCTCAAAAATTATAATTTAATTATGCAAACATTTTTATTTATTTATTTTCTCTTCATTCATTTGTAAATAACTAAAAGAGAATTGAATGTTTTCTACTGTTAAAAAGTCGAAAGTTACACACAAGAACATCGTAGTTATAGAACTAACCTACGTAGCCATTTGTTAGAACCGTACCTTTATTTAAATAATATGATAATGTTCTTGAATATATATTTAATTAAATTTTATTTGACTAAAAACTTAAATTTGAATATATGTTGATTTATACTATTTAATTAGTTATGTTACGAACCTTATTTTATTCATTAACTTATATAATAATTTAATGCCAAAGACGAAAGCACTTGTTACTTGTATCCAATTGATTTTATTTCTTACCAAATTAATGAATCATGACATTAATATATTATTTGATAATTTAATATTATTTTGGCATATTTTTCTTAGCTCCGAAGAGATACCAAGCTAAAAACTCGAGATTTCACTCACTACCCCGTTTACAGAGTCCACAAAAGGTAAATATACTTTGTTTTATATGAATTATAAATATTGCAACAGAAGTTCTCATCTTATTATTTTAGGCAATCTCCCGATGTCCAAGTCCGATGAATTATTTCGATGATGAAGAAGAAAATAGTCGAAGCAGAAGTAGACGAAGAGAAAAACATGGTAGAGTATAAAACAGCTATATTTAATTAATTCAAGTTATAAAGTACATATGTAAATAATAAAAAGAATACCTCAAATGTTTAGTTATTTTGTAGAAAATCGTGTTCAAAAATAGTCAGCAGAAAATTATGTCAGTTTGGTGTTAAACAATTCTTGTCTCTTCGAGAAAATATAAAATTAGCAAACCGGATTTCTAACTACTCTATCATGAAACCAATTATTATAATTATAAATTTTCAATAATCGACGAAAATGCCTTTTACCAAAAAATTTCATTCCGTTTTAGGACCAAGTCCTCGAATAATGTCTCCAATGGGTTTAGCAGTAAATCGCCAGCAGCGCTCGATGGAAGAACCGAATTTTTCAACTGGCGAAGAATCATATACGGGCCAAGAAATACCAAGGGCCAGACCTGTCCCAATTTGGTTATGTGTGTTTTTGGTTATCAGCTATATAATTGCTGGTGCTTTTCTATTTTCCAGGTGAATAAGTTTTTATGAAATATACTAGTGTCGCCTGGTTAATTTAAAAGTAATTTTAAAAAACATATATATATATATATATATATATATACAGTGCTGGATTTACAGTAGGGGCAATCGGGGCTACTGCCCAGGGCGGCAAATTTTGGGGGGCGGCAAAATTTGGATAGTGAGAAAAAAATTCTATACAATATAATCAACTTTTTTTTAACAACATTTATTATTTCAAGAAATATAATTAACAAAACATAATAAGATTGCAATGCAAAATTTGTAAAAACGTAAATTATCAAATTGGTTAATAAGTTATCAAATTTGGCAATTTGGCTAATATAAAGATCCATAAACAAGCTGAAAGTTTAACAAAAATATGTTTTTCAGTTCTCGAGCCCTCTTAAAATGACGAATTTGTGCACTTCCAAGCTTATAGCGTCGAAAAAAATTTAACCTAGTGACTCATGGCATTGTGCCTTAAAACAAATTACTGAAACATCCCGTACTGAAAATTACATTTTATAAAGAGCTTTAAAATTTTTTGAAAAATGAAAAAAAAAGACTTTTAAAGCACGTTTTTTGTATTTTGAAATTTTTCGAAAATTGAAAATTGATGAACTTTTTGCAAAGCAGTCGCGTTGCGTAGCTGTTTCAGAGAAGAAATATCGAAACTCAATTACCATTTTTCGTAATTGCCTGTGCCACAAGCTAATCAGCACGTCTCCCCATCAATACAAATCTAATATTTTTTAACTATTCAAGTCGATTTCGAGAACACGGATCAATAGATTTAAATGATTCAATTCCTATTGATAAGGAGACGTGCTGATTAGTTATTGGCCGAGGCAGGTCCAACTGTTTTGAAGATACGGGCCAAAATGTCAAAAATGATAATTCAGTTTTTCAGAAAAAAGCGTCCAATATCATTCAAAAAAATTTACAGAATAACTGCTTAAATTTGTGGGGGGCAGGTTTAGCGGTTTCGATGATCCAATAAAAAAATTTGAAAAAGAAACATTTGGCGGACAAAAGTAATCATAAGACATATGCACATTAAATTATCAGATATTTTAAAGATATTATAATAATAAGTATACATTTTGTTTACATTTATATGCGTTCTGTAACATTGTTTATCCGTTAGACAGCGACGCGGCGCTTACGCGCTTCTATATTTTGTCTCTACGCAGCTGAAGCAGCGCGATTGCTTCAAAAAAAAGTTCGAAAGTTCGTAAAATTTCAGGGATGGGGCGGCATTTTTGTCAGTGCCCCGGGGCGCCAAATTTCTAAATCCGGCCCTGTATATATATATATATATATATATATATATATATATGTATTGCATACATACATTATCAGGGCCGATTCTGGGGTCCTCGGCGCCCGCATGCAATTTTTCTTTCTAGTTAAAATATAAATTTGAATGCTGGTCAACAAGCAATATTATACAAACTCCATTATATTCAAATCCAATAAAGCGATATCAATTTTGCAACATCTCTAGCTCTAGCTTTGAAAATAAAGTATAATTTCTTAAAAATCCGTCGACCTCTTGGGCTTAGTTTTAGGTAAAGTGCTCGTTCGTTAGAGGTTAATGTCATATATTATATAATTTAAAAATATAGATTATTATTTCTAATCTGATATAAATTACTTAAACATATACTGTATAAAAATATGTAAAATTAAAGTGCAAATGAAAAAATATATTTACAGATGGGAGTCTTGGTCATTCTTAGATTCAGCATATTTTTGCTTCATAACTTTGACTACTATTGGATTTGGAGATTTTGTTCCTGCCCAAGGCGTGAAGGCAAATTCAGAGGTATGTTTTTGAAGCAAAATATTATCTAACATATTTTCCAAACAACTTAGTATGATAAAAACTTATATTGGTCGACTTTATTTATTAGTAAGAATTAAACTATTAGTAAGCATTAAATAGGGCTTAAAATACTAAGATAAAATAATCTTAGTATTTTAGGCCCTATTTAATTAATAATGACTTACTTTCACTAATATACAAATTATGCAATATTACACAAATTTAAATACAGTGGTATCCCGACATATGAGTTTAATTCGTTCCGTAACGACGCTCGTATCTCGAAGCAATTTTTTCCATATAAGTATATCGAAATGCCATTAATTCGTTTCAGCACTGTGGTTTTTGTTAAGTTTTTTAAAATGTTAAAAATAAATTTACTATTTATTAATTTAGTTATTGTTTTTTCATGTCCATTCATAATATTGCGGAAATGAGTTAGGTATGTTTCGTTGAACAACTCCTATGCTCGAACGGTTGCAACTTTTTCGGGATGATTTTTATTATTTTTAATCTTTTAAAGCTCAAAAAGCTGCTTATGAATTATTGCAATGCATTTAGCTGGTGTTAACTTCTTTATCAATTTCTTTTATTCAAATACAGCACATACATATCTATGAAATGTTCTGCTCGTACATTATTGCCAGCCTCATATTTTTTGAATAATTTCACGATTTAATTCAAGAAACATGCCCCTTTTCTATAGGCCCATGGTTATAAAAGTACATAATATTTTGTAAACGTACAAAAAGCAAATAATATGAATTCAATATATACTCATTGATCCACGATATATTCGCGTGGGTAAATCGTCATTGCACAATTAATATTATTATATAATTGAAACGAATATCTATAAAATAATTTACTATAATGAAACAACCAAAATTGTTTCTATGGTCGTTGAATAAGACAACACGTAAAAAATCATTGTTACGAAATTACGGCGAAAATGTTCATATTTTCATTTTGCCAATAAGATTTTTTGAGAAAGCTCAAAGTCAAAGCAAACGAGCCGATTTTTTGGATGCTCGCATCTCGAAACACTTGTATGCCAGTTCACTCGTTGAGTAAGATATGATACCAATGTAGTTTTGATTAATTTAGGTTATAAGTTTCTGATATTCAACTTATTTTCATTTTTGTAGATGTCTATAGCATTGTGCTCACTGTATTTGTTATTCGGAATCGCCCTTCTGGCCATGAGTTTTAACTTAGTGCAAGAAGAAGTAATTGCAAATGTTAAATCGGTCGCAAAACGACTTGGAATTATCAAGGAAGACTCGGAAGAACTAGATGAATAAATTTTATGATTTGTTCATTTATAAATGTAATAGTAAGTAGCACTATATACATATTTATATAGAAAGAAATAATTATTATACATATTAATAAATGAATGTGAATCAAATTATACTATAAAAATTTAAATATTTATGTAAATGTTTGTTTCCAAATTGTTTTTTATAATTTAGAAACTGTACAAATGAAGATAAATTCTAATTGTTATTAAGAATTATATTTCTACATAGACACAAAACATCAACTTTCATCTTCATACTATAATAACTCACCAAAAACTTAAAAATCATACTTTTTCATGTAACATAAATAGCATTTAACTTCGGTTTATTCATACAGTTTCTCATATCATTTCGTCATATTAATGAAATACAATAATCTTTTTATAATTTATGTATTTTTTATATGGGACACTAAAAATTTTCAGACAGGGAGTATGTTTTATAATTTATATAAAAACATTTCATATTTTTTTATATAATATGTAAAAAACTGCCTTTGTTATAATGGAAGAAGTTATTTATTCAATACCTATGGAAAAGGTTACTATATTAATATCAAATGTTTAAAATATACAACTCATTTGATTCACTTATCCAATTGAGATAAATAAAGTAATACAAAGCTAAAATTAAGAAAAATGCACAATTTCTATCTAAATTTGTCAGAAACTGTCATGTTTCAAATACAAAATACAATAGAAAAATTATTTAAAGTGTTTGCTCAAACTGATCAACTTCATGAAAGCACAAATTAGTTCTCAAAAAACTGATAGCTAATTCACAAAATTTACCAAAATGTCATTATTAGCAGCACTGTTTAAGCACAATCTATACGATTGATTGTCTGTAACTCAACTTCACTGATAAACATTAGCTTGATTAGGTGTCATGTAATCCCCTATCATTAAGCTGGCATTTATGGGGTAGTGTGTGTTGGCCATCATTATTTGTGCTGTATTATGTTCTGGTGAGGTGAAGAGTGATGGCGAAATACCTCCCCCAATGAGTTGAGCGGCTTGAGTCGACGTTGCATTACCTGTAGCCCGACCTCTTCCAGTACTTGATATGCATCCTGGATGAATATTAGGTTGATTTGTCAGTGCTATTAAATTTGAATTCACAACTTGACTGGTGTCCATCGACACTTCTCCTAATCCATTAACCGACATTCCATTAACTAAATTTATAGCATTCTTTGCTCCTTGGGCATCAATCTGTGTCCAAATTCCTTCACTTGGTGATGTGTTGCATGTACCTGGAGGTGGTACTATGGGTGCTCCTGTATATCTGAAATATGGATTTTTTAGGTCTAAAGTATTGCTCGATGTAATTGTGGTTCCTTCTACTGTTAAATCCATAGTAACATCGTAACTCTGACGCTTATTAGCCACAAGTAAAACTCTACCAGTCAGAAGCTGGCCTTGTTTAACAAATATAGGATTTTCTAAAAGACAGCGGACTTGGTACCAATGGGTGAGAGGTTCCGTGGGAGCTGTACTTAGCCAAATTTGTTGTGTAGATCCATTGAATGCAACATCAAACCAGAATGCAAGACCATGGCAGGGGCCCGTTTCTAATAGATGAAAATCAAAAGGTACTTCAATTCTGTGTAAGTCAGACTCATTTGCTTCCAGAAAATCCACCACATGGCGCACAGATTTACTCATACATATTCTAACATCGAAGGTATCAACTATCGGTTGACGAAAATATTCTTTCATAGCTGCATTTCTCATTGAACTTAAATCAACTCCATGAAAACTAGACTGAAACCAAAAATTTGCCTTATTATATTGCTCCATGTATAATGTTTCATCTGTGAATGGGGCTATATGTAAATCTCCCCTAGAAGGAAACATTTTTCCTCCCGGTTTGAGCCATTTTTTAGCATGTATATATGTTTCTAACATTCTTTCATTATACAACATGTACCCCATTGGCTCAGATATTATTACATCGACCATTTGTGGTAGATCAATTTCTTCTATTTTACCAGCTATAACTATTATGCGATCTGACATATTATTAGCCGCTACTAAATGTTGTGTGTGAGTAGCCATATTACTCGCTTCCACAGCATATATACATTTTGCACCTGCTTGAGCTGCAAAGAAAGAAAGTATTCCTGAACCGGCTCCAACATCTAAGACTATTTTTCCTTCAAAGTCGCTCAAATTTTTTAATACTGCTTGCTGGTACGTACTAGTTCTCACAAAATCTTGCATCATGTTTTGTTGTTGGCTCAGATAACCATAAAACTGAAAATACTGCAGGGCTGAAGAATCCTCTGTTCTATCAGAAAATATAGAAGTATGCTTGCCTGATTTTGCCTTCGTGACTTTGCAATGAAATTCCCGCGCGTCATTTTCATTGGAAAATTTAAAATGTAGAGTTTCATTGTCAATATTAAAAACGTATCCTAATTTCGAAATTCGGGAACATTCACTGCTATTTGTCACAGGAAATTCAACAACGTAATCTCCTACATGTGAAGTATCATCGGCTCGTAGTATTTTAACACTTAACCCTTGTGGATCATAATCAGTTAATATATTAACTGGGAATTCGAACTTTGGTTTAAAATTATGCGAATTATCAATAGTGGATACACATACCGCGCGAAATATCTTCGCCATTGTTCTATTATATTGGTTATGCACTTTAAAATTGGCGTAAAAAGTAAGTACTTCGTTAAGGTTTTATAACTCGGATTTTATCTACGCACTAATGCCGTAATGTACTTCAATTCCTCAACAAAATCAGTCCGTTATTTATTCTTACATGAAGATTTGAATGCCCTCCGAATAACAATCTCCTTAAACAAAAAGCTTGTAAACTAAACTGTCAAACAAAGCCGAAGCTAACATGCCGAAAGCACCGGGCTTTCGATTTCATGATGTTATTTTTCAGTTGGCAATCATGAAAACATTGCAAATTGCCAATTTTATTATTTAAAATTAAAATTTAATTAAAAAAATAATTTAATTTATTATTTATGTCAAATATGAAGTAATTGACATTATTATGTGTTAGAAATATAGTAATTGATGTATAATATGTAGTACGTATTAATTATATCACGATGTTATTGTAAAAATTTCAAGTGAACTTGACATTTATACCAAATTAATTTGTTTTACTGAATTTCTAAATAGTTTTCAAGGTAAGACTTTTCATATGATTATGCTCATGTCACACTATAGTATTTTAATAAAATATTGCGTTCAATAAATTAATTAAACAAAAATATAACCTCTCTTCTAACTACTTGTGATTGAATAAAAATTATATTATCATAGGCTAAATTATAAATGATTAATTATGATCAAAACCATTTTAATGAATTAATTTGAAACTTTCATTGAAAAATAATAGAAGATAGAGAAGATATTATTTTTATAGTGAGATGCTAGATAGCTGATGAAAATATTTTTATTTGCATATTGATAATGTCGAATAAGATAAAATCTTTTATAACAAGTACCCCTTGCAATGAATAATTTTTCTAACAAGCATATAGATAATGGTTTTTCATATAATTAGTAGCCAAGTATATAGATCGTGGTAACATTTGTTTAGCATAACTAGGTTTTCGCTTTATGAGTACGGTTATTCAATGAATTAAGTTTTTTTAAGATAGAACTCCCTTTATACACCTATTTTAATTTAATTTAAATTTATTATGTATTAAAATTTTAATTATTTTTTAGAATAATGACTAATGTTCTAGAACTGCTATGTGGTGATAACAATCAACAATTATATGCATTGGCCCTGCCATTTGGCACTTCTACAAATGGAGATTCGTCAGATTTTCAAACAGAATATCTACAAAATCAACTGCAGGTGAAATATATTAAAATTGCATTTCGATAAATAACTGCATTATTTTTGGTTATTTGTTTATTAAAGTATATATTTTGCTTTATAGCATTTAATATAATATATAGAGTTAATACTTGCAATATACTTAATTGTATATTTCATAATAAATTCTTATGGTAATTTCAGTCTTTAGTTAACCAAGCCCAACAAGTACAATGTGAAGACCTTTCAAGTATTGAGGATGGAACTGAAATTATAGACACTGTCGATAAAACCATTCCTGAAGAAACATCATGGGCTTTACCTATTTATTCAACAGGTGCTTTATTAGCATACTCATGGTTATAAATTTAAATGCATTTTTGTATTGGTGTTTAATTTTGTATATTATTTTATAGGCGAAAGCACAATAAATATTCATGCGTTAGATGTTCTTCACCCACAATCTTTGTCAAATTGTGAATCCGATGAAATTCAAAACATTGAATATTTAGTTGAGGTGAATTTAATGGAGTATTACAATGTAACTAGTGAATGCTGCATTCTTAATTTCTTGTGTTTTGCAGGAAGATGCTGATTGTGAACTGCATGCTAAACCAAATAAGGATTTTGACACAAGATACACAATAAGCTTAAATGGCATGCAATATGGATTTAAATTAGTTCCTACTGTAGGTAGGTCAAGTAAAGATTAGAATTCCATATTAATTAAATAGTATAACACAAAATGGATAAAATTAATTATATTGTTTCTGATGTAGACCATAATGATGCTCATTGCTCGCAAGTTAAAATACTTTTAAATACTGATAGTACATCAGATGCAAATGAAGCTGATCCTAATACAACACTAGCTACATTTGATGGTTTTAGAAGTGACTATGAGTGTCAACCAATTTTTGAAGGTGAAATTAATGATATGGCCGATGTAGTCCAAGCTTATAAATGCAGGAAATGTTGCTTTACTGTGCAAGATAAACAGTTGTTAATAGATCATTATAAAACAGAACATACAGAAATATCAGCAACAAAAGTTAAGGTATTATTCAATTTTTGCTAGAAATAGTATGAAAGTTTGCTATGTGAGACGCGTTTTTCCATACAAGTACATTAAATGAAATTAATTCATCCTGTAGTTTGAAATGTGGTCATAGAAAATAAGATATATTTTACATAGAATTAAAACATTTAAAAAATATTAGCTATTTACGAAATAAGTTATTATCAGAGTGGTACTGCTTCTTTTTTTGCCCTTTTAGCTTCTGAATTTTTAAAGAAACTATCAATCGTATTTTTTCTTTATTCTCTTCTTTAAGACCTACGACAAATGATAGGTAAGCTTATCATTGTACAAATTTCTGATCTTCAGTCATAAGTCATGCAAAAAGTAGACACTTAAGAATTCTTGCACTTCTTTTCATTCAACCAAAAAGTCCTTTATGAACTTTATACACTATAGAAATCAGCTGACCAATTTAAATGAAATCAATTTGATATTAGGCTGGCATTTGCAATGCATATTAGTATGTCTCAGAATTCCATTTACTCTTTATGGTCCTATTTTTTTTACATGAAATTTTTTGTGGCCATTTATTTGAAATAAGAAACATTCTCGTATATTTATTTCATTCTATATTATGTAATAGAAATAATAATATTTTACCCTACAGAAAGAAGGTTATTCAGATATTGAAAATAATACATACAATTTCGATGAAATAGAAGTTAAATCAGAACAATTACTTTATATGTGTGGACAATGTTCACGAGGCTATGCAAGCATTGATGAGTGTAAATCACATATGATTAAGGTATAATTATATTGTTCAATGCTGTCAAGCAATTTTAGAATAAATAAAAGAATATGTGAAATATTTGCATCATTTTGGTTGTAGGACCACAAACTAACTCGAAAGATTTCTGATTCTGATATTTCATCTGACTTTGATAACAAACAATTATCTACTGAAATTTGTGTACCAAATAAATCAGATGAAGCAAATATAGAGGATATGAAGGAATCACATTGGATGTTGATTAATAGCTTGAAAGACTTAAAAGCTGCGTTGATGTCGGATTGGCAAAATAAGTAAGTAGCAACTATTTTATAAATGAAATGAAATTTAAGATTAATAATTTGAGTTAATTACAGATGCATAATTAATAACTGTCCATATCGTTTTAAAGATAGTGATAGTTTGGAGAAACATTCAAAATGTCACAAGAGTTCATCGAAATTATTTTGGTAATTATCTTCATATATTTGGCAGTACAGAATTGTATATATATATATATATATATATATATATATATATATATATATAATTTAATATAATTGTTGTTACAGTTGTTTTGAATGTAATGAAGATTTTATAAATTGGAGAACTTGTTCAGTGCATTTGTGGCGTATGCATTTATTAGATATTGATATGCTGACATGTCCGATTTGTTATGAATATAAAACTCCAACAACAGGTGATCCAAAATTTTTATAATCTTATTTAACAGCATTCAGAAAAATCATTATGAGCATTACAATACTGAAGAATGTGATATTGAAATGTTTTACAAAAGAGTTTTTTTTTAGTTATAATAGGCTCTAAATACTTCTTTTTAAAGAATACTTTGAATAACTTAAATCATCAAAATTTGATAAATTAATGAATATTTAGAGTTATTAGATATGTAATGTTTTATTCTCAACATTTACAGTGAAATTGAGTCACCACATGAAAATTCATGGTTTATCAAAAAGTTTTATTTGTGGAGAATGTGGCAAAGCATTTAAACAACCTGGCCAATTACATAATCATAAAGTTCTTCACTTAGCAAGGAGAAAAACACAAATTCAAAGATGGTATTTAATGTCGATAATGTCATCAAATATTACTTGATTTATATATACTTTAGATTTACTTGATAATACAATTAAATATTATTTTATGTGCATTTACAGGTATACCTCAAAAAAGTGTGAAATTTGTTTAAAATCTTTTGCAAATTCAAAGTGTTTAAAAAAGCATATACAAGCAATCCATAGTAAAATAAGACCGTTCATATGCAATGTTTGTGGGCATTCATGCACTAGAAAGGCAATGCTGCAGGTATGTGCAACTCATAATTGTTTTTAAATGTTAATGATTTTAGCAGTCAATATCTCAGACAGTCCTTTTCAAAATATTTTTTTTTATGTAAAATTGTGCCAATGAAGTTAAAAATGTTTGTACCTAATTGCTGATAGTTCTTTAGTACTTTCATTAAATTTTGCTTTGTTTGATTCAAATAAGTTGCTGAACACTCGATTAAAGAATCAAGCCAGAGTACACAAATTACCATTTGACAGACATACTTATAGTTATATTATTATATAACCTATATCTTTTGAAAGGTTTTCAATTTTTTAAGTACAGTAGAACCTCGATTACCCGGACTAATTGTTGTTGATAGGCATCCGGATAATCGAAAATCCAGATGATCCAAATGATGAAGAATAATGTTTTGTTTATCAAAAATAACAAATACATACATAGATATCAACAAAAATCGATGTTTATTAGAAAATTAACGCTTACATATTTTCTCACAATTATATTACATTATACATATTATATTAATCATGAGGTAAAATATTCAGGTGGTACGTAAAGTATCAATGAAGAAGAAAAGTTGCTTACGAATAATTTGTTGATCATTTTTGTAAAAACCAACAATATAGAGCTTCTTCTAAGAGTTAATTTTTCGGTCTGTTCATTTTCCGATTTTCACTCCCCTCTTTACTATCTAACTTGCAAGTGTACGACAAAATTGGATCGGCATTCTTTTTAATATCGCTTATAGTGGATGTACCTACACCATACCTATCAGCTAACTTACGGCCGGTTTCGTCTTTTTTTATGATTCTATAATATTTATTTTATCTTTAAGGGATAACACCACCCTTTAAAAATGTATATATGCACGTCAGAACCCACTAGTAAAATTGCAAACGAACTACATAAAGCGATAATGCCGCGCGGGCGGAATATGCAAGTTCCGACGCGATTATGTCCGGATAATCGCGAATCCGTATAACCGAGGTCCGGATAATCGAGGTTCTACTGTACATATAATATTTTGAGAAAATGTGCAAGATAAATTATATGGAGAAACGGTTTTACTGAACTTTTTCAAAAATTAATAAGCACAATAAACTTTCAGCTCAAAACGGATTAGGATGTTCTGAGAAATCGTAAATAAATAATTATATCTTAAAATGCGCTAATTACGTAGAAATGGCCTGGTTGATCTTTGCTAAAAATTAATTTTTGCAATTTATTTATATCTTCCCAACGGTTTTAATAACTTCAAAATTTTGTTTGAAATTGTTGGCAATTTTTTTTACATTTAATTGAGCCCTTATCAAATTTTATAAATGGTTTTTTAATTTTTGAAATTCAGAGAAATGTCGACAAAACACTTCCCGAAGGAGAAGTTTGTTTTCATAAAAAAATTTGATTCGCTAATTTTATTTTTCCTCGACGTTTCAAGCCATTCTTAATCGAATGAGACCAAATTTAGAAAAGGTATGTGAGCGTGTATGTGAACAGATTTTTTGCCGTAAATCGACGTTTTCTCAAAAACGGCTGGACCGATTTCAAAAATTTAATTAATATAAAAATTGTTGATTTTCGAAAATTTGCTTTTAGAAAATACTCCGAGTTAACGTGTTCATTCGTTTTCAATTATGTGTAATAAATGCACTCAGAATACATTTAATCACTCATAACTTAATTTATTTTTTATTGATTATTTCGATTATTTACACATATTGGGACGTTCATGTAACTTGCCTCAAGGCAAAATACCAACTAGTTTGATAAGATGTTGATAACCATTGATTTATATTTCATTTGATAAAATGAATACATTAGTGATCTATTTAGATATTTTCAAAAATTTATATCATTGAAATTTTTTCATCATTTCAAAAATGTTACTTTTTTAGATGCATCTTCGACAACATACTGGTGAAAAACCCTATGCTTGTACTGAATGCGATTATAGAACAAGCGATCATAACACATTACGAAGACATTTAATGCGGCATACTGGTGTAAGTTTAATAATATTTCAGTTTAAATGTGATATGTACAGTACAGGCCAAAAGTTTCCGGACATATGAAAAAAATCTCATTTTCTGAGTTTTTAGCCATATTTTTCATATAAAAATAATTTTATTCAAGTTAGTTCTGTAAATTCTATGTAGTATTAATATTTAGTGACTGATTTATAACCAATTTGTGAGAAATGATAGACTAACTAGCAATGAAAATGTTAAAATGTCACTGCAATCGATTTTCCTGAATATGATCACCCTTTGCTTTGATAAATGCAGCGCATATTTTTGGTAATCTTTCCACGAGTTTTTGCAATGTTTGCGCAGGTATGTTCTTCCGGGACTCCTTAAGGCAATTCCACAGGGCAGGGAGGCTGGCTGGACGCAAATCCTTCACGCGACGTTTAAATCCGGTGATTGTGCAGGCCACTCCATTATATGAAGTATTTTTTCGTCTTGTTTTCGCTTCAAATAATTGGCACAGAGTCGGGAAGTGTGTTTAGGATCATTATCTTGTTGAAAAATAAATTTTGGACCAATTAATTTAAGACCAGATGGAATGGCGTGGCGCTGAAGTATGCTATGATACTGTTCTTTCTTTAAAGTTCCATTTATTTTGACAAGCGATCCTACTCCATTGAATCTAAAACAACCCCAAGCCATCACTGAACCACCACCGTGCTTCACCTTCGGCGAAATACACTTAGAATTGAGTCTTTCATTACCCTTCCTACGACAATACTGACGTTGATGATTTCCGAAAAGTTCGAATTTTGACTCATCCGCCCATAAAACTGATTTCCATTGATCGATGGTCCAATTTAAGTGGGTTTTGGCAAATTGCAATCTCTTTTGTTTATTTACTGCTCGCAGAAGTGGTTTTTTGAGTGGCCTGCACAATCGCCGGATCTTAATCCAATAGAACTGTTGTGGGACGAGCTTAAACGCCGCGTGAAGGATTTGCATCCAACCAGCCTCCCTGCCCTGTGGAATTGCCTTAACGAGTCCTGGAAGAACATACCTGCGCAAACATTGCAAAAACTCGTCGAAAGATTACCAAAAATATGCGCTGCAGTGATCAACAAAGGGTGGTCATATTCAGGAAAATCGACTGCAGTGACATTTTAACATTTTCATTGCTAATTAGTCCATCATTTCTCACAAATTGGTTACAAATTAGTCACTAAATATTAATACTACATAGAATTTACAAAACTAACTAGAATAAAATTATTTTTATATGAAAAATATAGCTAAAAAATTCAGAAAATGAGATTTTTTCATGTGTCCGGAAACTTTTGGCCTGTACTGTATATAATTTTACACCTTATACTGTGTGTTTTTTTAAATATTAGGTTCGGCCATATAGATGTTCATACTGTCCTTACGCAGCAATTCAGAGCTGCGCATTCAAGATGCACATGAAAACAAAGCACAAAGATAAACCTGTGTTTATTGTTGTAAAGAATGCTCATTCAAAACCGTAATAAAAACATTTATGAATCTCACATATCTGATCACGAGAGGGGGACTAATCGAAACAAGATAAAATAAGAGAGCAGCTTGGAATTTTAACCCAGGTTAGTATAGTTTCAATATATCAAAACTAAAATCAGAATTAAAGTACTAAAGTAAATCTATCTGGCTCATTCCTGATTTATTATTATTCTAATTTCTGGAGTTTTATAAATGTTTTCCAAGACCTTGTGCATAGTTGGCCCAAGCTTATTTATATTTAGTACAATTTTAGTACAGTTTTATATTACCATAAAAATTACTAATTATTTAAGATAAAATTCCTAATTATATTGTATAATTAATATCATTCTAAAACAAATTATTATAGAACTAGAAAAGAATAGTAATACTACATCACAATTGATCTACAGGCAAAGAGAGAAGTGTGAATCGAAATCCTTAAAGTTAAAGGTTTGATAAAAATTCCTTTTAATCATTAAATCAAAAATATATTATTGTAAATGATCTTTATATATATGCATTATATTTATGTAATATAGATATCAAGTAGAGACTCTGAGGATGATGATACTCAGCAATATTTCTTGATGCGGCATCAACATCATGATAACTCAGAAGATGCTATAGATACTGGTGGTGTAACTATTCCGGCAGAAGCGTGCATATGAATGTATGAAGTCTCAATATTATGACTGATATTTATATAATATATAACTAGTAATACAAATTAACATATTTTCTTTTATATAGTATTGCTAAAGACTCAAATTCATAGAATTTTGTTCAATGCTGCATAATTTTGTCTGGCAAATTCAGGATTAAACTGTGAATTATATTTTTGTGTGATTGCTGATGTTTCCCCAATAATGTTAGGTTTACATTTTGATGGTTCAGTTTTTCCTAATAACATATCTGCTTTTAGACGCTCTTCTGCTTCTCTTTTTAGCCTTGCTTTGCGTAATTCCTCTATCTTAATACTTTTTTGAGTCACAATATCAAGAGTTTCTTTTTTTTTTCGACTATGCTTTTTCTTATGCTTAGATGATTTTGATACTTTACTGTGTTTCAATTTGTGCTTAATTTTTTTTGAAATATCTCTATTAATTTCATCGGCTTTTCGATTTGATGTTTTGTATTTTTTTATGATTTGATAAGGATCATGAAAATGTTTCAATTTTAATCCCACCTCTATACCTTTCTCCTCAGAATTTTTGGCTTGTTTTCTTTCTGGCAAAACATCATACCAATTCTTCTTACCTAATGCTTCATTTGTATCCTGACCTAAATAAGTGAGATATCCAATTTGTTTTTCATATTTTTCTTTCTCTTCTTTAATCTCTTTCTCGTGATCCACATTTTTTCTTTTAGTACAGTCTTGACCATTTTCTATATCAGAAAAGAAATTAACATGATTCAGAGTTTCAGATGCTTCCAAGTTTTTATGATCATCTACATGGGTGTTAAATGTCTCTCTAGCACGTTTTCGCAGTAATTCTGTTCTGGCTTCTTGATCCTATGAAATATGTTAAATTAAATTTTGTAATACTAACATAACTACTATTAATAACATACAAACAAACAATCAATATAATATAATCAATCAGTATAATATTAGTAGTTAAATTAGCAATTTTCTTACAGCTAGTTTAGATCTTTCTATTCGAGCCTTTTCTTCCTCAGCGGCTTGTGCCTCATCTCTGCGAACTCTTGCAATATTTTCTTTGGTTCTCACATGCCATCTGCAAACATATAAGATGTTTAATAATAGATGTTTATACAATATAAAAAATAACATAATTAGAATCATTATTCAAAATTTTGACTTAAAACAATAACTCAAATTGCCATTTAATTTAACTAACACCAAAACTATACAAACCGCCAAACAATATTAAAATATGTGATGTTACGTTATCCATTAATATGATTATGATTAAAAAAAAAAAATTCAAAATAGCAGCAAGAAAAATATTTATGTAATTATTGAGTTTTATATTACATTACTCAGGTCTTTTAAGGACCTTAGATTAGTCCAATCACATTTTAAAATAACATACCGTTCATTTCATTACATAGTAAGAGTAAAGAAAATACATATTCTTAAAATATCCAAGAAATGCAAGAAGGAGCAGCAAAACATTTGCATTTTGTTAAATAAATACAGTTGGACAACAGTGCTTCTCAAAAATTATTAGCGCATTAAATAGAAATATTAGATATTACTTAATACATACAAATAAATGCATATATTAAGTGGATGCTCATCCAAATTATCCAAAAACATTACGGCTAGTCTTTAGGAGAAAAATAAGTTTGACAATATCATAAAAAGTTTGATAATCTTCGTTATTTGTAATATTCACAAGCACAAAATACCATGTATTTTCGTTAGTTTATTTAATTCACCTTTTTTTTGGCAGAATATTCATGTTGTGATGTTACACAGAAACGCAGAAAACGTAGCTCGTGCTGCTGAACGGCTCAGAACTGTCATTTGTCATTTTCTCAAGCTGTTAACTTCAAGTCATTCGTCTTTTGTCGAGCAGAATGCAGAATAAACAATCACAAGCTAATTCTAGTGGAGAGTTTATTAATTTATAAGTTAACGAGTCAACGAGTATTTTCTAAAAAGAGTACCACGCTGATTAGTTTATAAAAAATTGAATTATTGACTCTTCCCAAAATTGCAAAAAGGTCGTATATTTTTAAGCCGCGTAAAAGTAAGTTCACAAAAATAGAAGATTTAATTATTGCAGTTGAACAAATTGATGGTTTCCTATTAGATCAGCAAAAGCATGTATGTAGCATTATATGTAGATGATTCAGCGTGTGGCAAAATAAATACAGGAATACCCCGTTCGTTCTATCGAAGTAGAGCACAATGCGAAACAGCGCTAATCGAGGTTATCTTTACATATAGAAATATTGGGGTTAGCCAAACTGGTTTGGTATTAAATTTAAAATGTATGTTATTTTTACAGAAAATAAAACAAACATTTATTTCTTAAAGCTCAAATTAGTACCCACATTATTATTTCTTGCAATAGATAAAATATAAATAACAAAACGAATATTCTTGAAAAAACAACTAACATTCTAAGTCAGTCATATTAGTTAGCCTTTCGTGTTTTCAGTGTTTTATCGTTTTGTGACAAAGCATCTAATGTTGTTTCTCTTTTTCTTTTGCGTTGTACTCTTAAAAGTTCTTCATAAACGGATAGAGCATCTCTAACACCACGCCTTACTTTAGACCTCCTGTCAAAATTTGGATCAATTAATTGATACTTAATTTCAGTTATGGTAGGCAAACTCCTTTTTACAAACACCATCGAAAGTTGTTTTTGTTTTTCTGCTTAATCACTGCTGTCAACATTTTTGTTT